GGTCCTTTAGTTAAACATTTGCATGTTTTTATAAATAATAGCACTAGCAGACAAATGACATTGGTGGTGTCCATTTTAAGAAACGGAATAAAAAAAAAAAAATGACATAAGGGCTCACAGAACCAAAAAGGAGAAACAAACACTGATACTGCTTAGGAGAGAAAGTAAACCTTACCTGGCCAAGACTGACATTGCAGCTTCACGTGTTATTTTGAACTGCTACGCATCTCCTGCCATGATTGTTGTTGTCTGGCACAAAAAGCAGTTCTGCCATCTTGCTACTTTGTTCACTGCCTCTTAGCCTGTATGGCCATCAATGTTGCTACCAGGGTCCCTGGCCACTATAGTCACCACCATCACAACTCAAGTACCAGAACATCACGTTACAGCCATTGCACAGCGCCCTCTATCACCCACCAAATCCCCGCACATGTCCACTTCCACCTCACCACTGGATCTTGAAAGCCAAAAGCTACAGCAACTGCCCCTTTCACTACTCCTGAGATCGTTATCTCAAGCTTATCGAAGGCATTTTAGGTGGTATGCATTGCTTCTTAATGTATACTTTATTTCCCCTGGTGGTTGCTCTCTTCTAAAATATTTATTTATAACATAAAGCAAACAGGAAGGCATCTGGAAAAAAAAATAAACATCTACAGACAAGTTTTCTTTGTAGTCTTTATTATTTTGGAAGGGATTAAAGTGCCAAAAGAAAATAAGGGAATTATAAGGTGCGTATTTCACTGCAAGGAAAAGCTTGTGTGAAGAATTCCCTCCAAAAGCTGTGTGCTTTTGACTGGAATAAAATTTAAACAAACTTCTATTTGGCTGTGGTTGTTCTTTGTTTAGCTCAAAATAATCCCTTAACTGTTAGCTTTCAATCTCTTTTTAATGCATTCGTTTTGTACCACATGCAATATGGTTGTGGTAAGCCCTTACCATGTCCGTTGGATTGTGTAGGTTGTAGCCATCAAGCAACTTGATCGTAACGGGCTGCAAGGGAATAGGGAGTTCCTTGTTGAAGTATTGATGTTGAGCCTACTCCACCATCCGAATCTTGTTAACTTGACCGGCTATTGTGCTGATGGAGATCAAAGACTTTTGGTTTATGAATACATGCCATTAGGATCTCTGGAAGATCATCTACATGGTATGGGACTAAATCTTGATTTCTAGATAATTAGACTGCAAAAAAGTTAAGTGCTCTTGGTCCATTGCATTTATTATTAAACAGTTGATGAGATGGATGGCAGGTGAGGTGCAAAAATTACATGGTTGCAGCTAAGATTTCTGTTCTAGATTCACATTTCTTGTTTGATCACTATGGTGGCTTGATATGCATTTCATGTAGCAATGCTTCAGCAATTTTTTTGTCTTATATGCTTATATTTCAGATCTGCCACCTGATAAAAAACGACTTGACTGGAATACAAGAATGAAAGTAGCTGCTGGTGCTGCGAAAGGATTGGAGTATTTGCACGACAAAGCTAACCCCCCGTTATCTATCGTGATTTGAAATGCTCAAACATTTTACTTGGTGAAGGTTATCATCCCAAACTATCTGATTTTGGCTTGGCAAAATTGGGTCCTGTTGGAGACAAGACTCATGTATCCACAAGAGTGATGGGAACCTATGGATATTGTGCACCTGAATATGCAATGACAGGTCAGCTTACTCTGAAATCAGATGTTTATAGCTTTGGTGTTGTTCTCCTCGAGATTATTACTGGAAGGAAAGCTATTGATAATTCAAGAGCTGCTGGGGAGCATAACCTGGTTGCATGGGTAAGAAAGTCCTGCACTGATATTTTCATCATTTCTGTATAGATGCTTCACTTGAATAAGTATGTGGTGCAACAACCATGAATCCACTTTCCTTTGATCTTCTATTTTATTTGTTTTTCATTATTCTTTTTTCTTGGTTGAGAGTCGGCTATAAGCCCAGGATTCTATGAGGAGAGGAACTGCTGCTGATCCTTAGGCTTAGGGTCTATCCATTTCACACAACAAGTATAGTCACTGTTTCATATTTTTAGTTAGTTAGTATCATTTCTGCATTTCACATTTGTTATGCTGTTGCCATCATGCAGTGCCGTTCTACTCTCAGGAACTGACCACCCAGAACAAAATTTCTCATCAAAAAGCTAGTTAAGTGAATCCTATCTAATTTGTTCCATGTTTCAGGCACGGCCCTTATTTAAAGATCGGAGAAAATTTGCACAGATGGCTGACCCATTACTTCAAGGCCAGTATCCAGTGAGGGGCTTGTATCAAGCTCTTGCTGTTGCTGCAATGTGTGTTCAAGAACAGCCTAATATGCGACCGCTTATAGCCGATGTAGTCACAGCACTTAGTTATCTTGCTTCCCAAAAATATGATCCAGAGACCCAACCAGTCCAGGGCACTCGCACAGGCTCTTCTACTCCTAGAACTAGAAGGGAACAATGAAGTTGGTAGGAGAGAGATTCAGCAGCAACAGTTGTCTAAGGATGGTTCAATCCTTGGAAACCAATAATTAGACTGCTTTCACACCGCAAACCATGGGAACACAGGATGTTTCACCCAAACAAATTTCTATCCATGATTCAGAGGTCAATGGATTGGAGTTCAGTAGCATCCAATTGTTTGCTGCGTTAGCAATGGTACTTATCGATCTAAATTCTGCACCAGTCCAGGTGCAACAGTGCCAGATGCAATGCTGCAATAGAAAATTCTTCTTCTCCCTCCTTTTTGTAAGTTTCGTTTTGGCCTTACAAATATCATTATTTTTTTCCCGAGTCTTCTACCTCTTTCTTTTCAAAAATTTTTCATGTCCAATTGAGCTTTGGGCTTTGTATCTAATTTTCGTCCATGATAGAAACTTGTGCAGCCTTAAAACAAATCTGATCCGATTGCTTGGCATTCCTTCTTACCATTAGTGTATACACACACACGCACACCTGATTTTGCCCAAGATCTTTGGAATTCATTCATCTCTCGGGAGTGACTTTTTGGGATTTGGCACTTTCATATAACAGGAACGTATGGTTTTGAAATATGGGCGTCTGATCCCAGCGGAAATTTGTAAATTCAACATGGTATGTGGACGATTTTGATCCTTTTGGTTCAGGGAGGAATAGCCTCCCCGCCCTGGCATAACTTCTTTTGAGTATTCCCCAGTACTTTAGTTTTTGCCCATAAAATAGGCACTTTTTCCTGAACTTCTTGCTCTTATTAAGTACCGTGTTCAAAGCAAATTATTACTCTCATCCATACTCCATCTCTACAACAAAAGTTGAATCCTAATTCCTAACCCTACCATCTTTCGGATATCTTTCACACCTCATACGGAACAATTGTCCTCTCTCTTACCAAAGTTCAGCCGTAACCCAACCCATCATTTATGTTTTGCCAGCAGCCGTAGCTAGTTGAGCATCATTTTGTTAATTATTAGATAACATTGTTATTTTAAACAACAGCTGTTATCTATTAAAGAAAAAAATTGCTTCTTTTCCCAGCTAATGGCTATTGTATACGAAAAAAAAATTGGCTTTTCTGCAGAAGATGTTAGTGCTAGTTACGTGAGATCATATTGTCATTACTCACTCAACTTTTCCAGCCTTTGGAATTTAAATATATCAAACAAACTTTCATTAATGCAATCAAATGATGATAATGTTCTAAAAGAAAAAGAAAAAGAAAATAAAAAATAATTATAATATTGATTTGAAAATGTAACATATTTTATTATTATTCATATTATATTAAATTATTAAGAGTTATGGACTTTTTTTTAATAATAAATTAAACTATTATCTAAAATTAAATTATTAAAGATATTATTATTTTTAATGAATAAAACTATTAAAAATATGTAGATGAAAATAAATTTATTTATTATTATCATTCATAACATCCAGCGAATGTTATTTTATATTACCACAATATACCAATCCATTTGCAATCATTTTTACAATTACATTTACAATTATCAATAAAACTAAAGTAAAACAAAGATTTACTATTCATTTACTGTTTGAAATACTATTTATTCAGGCTCATTTCACTATTCACATAGACTTAGATATACTATTCCTTCATTATGCAGTGTTATTTTTATAATTTTCAAACATTTTAAAGATATTTATTGTAAAAGTTTTCGTGATATTATACTTTGATTTTTTTTTTAAATATTGTTTTTGCAATCCGCAAATATTTTTTGTTTAGTTTTGATCTCTTTATTTATTTATTTTGGTTACTTTGGTCCTTTTTTCTTTGATTTTTTAATAAAAAATTTTAAGACAAAAAAAATGTTTTAAAAAAATTATAAAATAAGTTTTTAACTAAGAATCCAATGATTTTGACATCCTTTATACTATCAAATAATTTTTTTGAAAAAAAATTATGAAAAATATTTAGAAATAATCAATCAATTATAAAATTTGGACTAAAAAATTATAAAATTAAATAAAATTTTATTTATTTTTGATTTGATATATTTTCATAAATGCGCAATATAACACAAAACATCAAAAGGAAATAATTTTTTAAAAATAATTTTATATATTTTATCCGACTTGTAGCATAACACGCGTAGAAAATCTAGTTTAAAACTGTACAAGATCCTCTATCCTTTCATAAGGCATTATCTGAAGACTTGGAACCAAGGTGCGAGCTTATTTAGCCGCCTGTTGAGTTTGTTTCATAATTTGTTGGTAAAATTTAACAGCTCTAGGCATACAAGGCTACTCAAGTATGCTTTACAGAATATACCACTAACACGTTTCACTAATGATATCATGTTTCTTCTTACATTCTCTTCACCTCTACACTAATGTTACTATTGTTTAATGAACAAACAATTAATGGAAATGGCTCTACAATGGCTGTTGGGAACAAAAAAAAAAAAGGTACTAATCTATTCTCTGCCTGAACTTACATTCTTACACAAAAAATATCTACCAAGCCAACAAATAAGAGATTTCAAGATCTACATATCATTATAGTAAATCTGCAATTCTCTATTCCTTGTTGTGTGCTGAAATGCCATTAGTCTCCTGCTCTGCGCTAGGATTCTGCCCGTGATTAGAAGACTTGTCATCACTTGCCTCCTCAACAGTACTGGTTTTCCCCTGTTTTGAGTTCAATTCGAATTAGCAACATTAATTTTTGTTTCCCGAGAACAATTAGCAACTATAATTAAAAACAATCAACACCTAACTCTCACTATATATATAAGGCCAGTTACCATGGTCTACAATATTAAAAAACAAATAAAAGATGGTAAAACAGGACTGTCGAAACAAGTACACAGAAGGGGCCAAATTTTCTTGGGGCATCACACCAGAGATCTAAGAGAAATCCTGCAACGGCCTAGGCAGCTCCTTTTTACTCCACCATTTGACAAAGAAAACAAAATTGAAAGCAGAAAAACAAATTATCAGAATGAAAAAGAAGTCCAAGTTAATGACTAGTTTGTATGTCGCAATAACTATCAGCTACCCCAAATAGACGCATCAAAACCCTATTTATCAGTACACTGCAATGGGTAGATGGTGAAAGGTTTCATGAATTTACGGGGAAACTTGTACAATAAAATCCAACCTTGTTTCGGTCACGCCATCCAAGTCCAAATGGTCGAGCTAGTAAACCAATCTTTCTTGCAGGTATATCTTGTGCAGGTTCTTGATTGCCACGTGTCTGTGAATCTGGATGTGAAGATCTACAAAGAAAAATTATGTTTCTTATCAGCACCAATATCATCCAACAGGTAAAACTAAAATATGCGTATAAAACAGACATCATGCATGTGATAAGACACAGTGCTGCTCATGAATGCATGCCAAACCCTTGGGATGAAGAGGGAGATGATAAGATTCAAATATAACTTATTTCTCAGCACAGAAAGAGCACCTCTTTATCGATAGAACAACTTACTCCTCATTGTTTTTTTATTTTTTTATTATAAATAAACAATATCTTTCGATTAATTAACGCAAGGAATGAAACATTCCATTTCTCATCCCATTATGTTCATTCAATTATAGCATACCAAACCAACCCAAGTGATAAATCAAAGTAAATATGACCAAATACAATTCAAGGAATGGTGACAGATTAAATCATGTCAACAAGAGACACAGGTGTGAGAAACTTTAGGCATTAGCAAAACTGACTACACACCGGGGAGAAGGTAGTGCTTTAAGTTGACCAGACTGATACTGCAAGGTGGCCTCCAACATTGATTCTGCCATAACCACTCGTTTCTCCATTTCAGCAAGTGACACAATAGCCTGTTCATACTTTTCCTGTGTATGTATAGTTGTGAGAGAGAATAGCGAGACAAAGAGACATAGAATGTCAGAACGTTGAAATACTGAACAGATCGATTAAAGAGTGAAATAAAAGGCTCTGGTGCAATCCTCATTGGGGAGGGGACACAACTAATCTATAGGGCAAGGCATTATGGCAAAAAAAAAAAAAAGGATACTCTCAATCATATCAAGCATGTTCTGCATCCATAATAACATACAGAAATAAGGCTGTCCCTACTTTCATCCAACAGGCACCATCTTCCAGAACTAGGGTAGAAAAGGATTCATCACAAGTTCTTAATAGTTGATAAAAAGATAAATATGATATAATTGCACTAGGATCAAGCAATATAACAAGCATAATTGGTACGTTTGACATGCAAAAGTAGAGGCCAGGACATATCACATCCATCATCTTAGAATTGTTAATACTTATTTGAATGCAAATTACGTATAAAATATGAAATTAGGAATAGAGCTAGATATTATAAACCTGAAGCACTTGAGCAGCGTATCTCTGAGCTGACGCATCTTGCTCAGCATATATGCGAGCATCTTCGGTTACCTTTTGCTCTTGTTCCACCCGCATTAAGAGCTACATAAACAGAAAGCGAGCAATTATCAAGAAAAGATCAGGCCAGGATTAGAGAGAAGATATGATATTCCTAAAACGAACAGATAGACCGTGGAGCAAAAATAACCTGGAGCATGGCATTCTCTTGTTCCTGCTTATCAGCAAGAGCCCTCCGCAGCTCAGAAACCTCTTGCTCTAACTGTTCAACCTGAAGAACAGAAGCAGATGCTCAGCATGTAATACATTTGATCAAGGCTAGCAAGCAAGGCTTATAACTGATTAACTGCATATTGCTTTAAATATCTCAGCGTAATGTCCAATCCAAGGCTACCCACTGGATCATAAACTGCCCTATTGCTACTGTCACTCATGGGGGGAAGGCATAAAATGAAGCATATTCTAACTACTGAGGATTTTGCATAATTTCAATTCCCTGAGCCTTGCAAAAAAAAATAAAAAAATCAACCACTGATTTAAAGAAGAAGAAATTTGGACATACCTTAGCACTCAATTGCCGCCGATTATCCTGCTTGACCATCTCCATCAAAGCTGTCTCCAACTCCTCAGCTCTAACAAAAAATTAGTATCAGCGGACTTTTAATGCAATATTATGGGAAAACTAAAATACACAACTTATGCAGTAACTCTACATCACATTCTGCTGGAGACATAGTACCCATACAAACTCACGTATGTTTTTTTTTTTTAACTGGAAGAAAAAACTCTAAACGATTCTACAGCTTCAAACTATATATTTGGGGATGTTTAAAAGATCTCGTCATGTGTAAACTGTGAATTCCATCCACAAAAAAGCTATATTTTGGAGATCAAAGTAGCTAGTTGACGGCTATAAGCAAGTGCTAGTTTTGAACCCAAGTAATATGTCCAGACCCTCAGCTAATTCCCCGCAAAATTCTCCTGCATAGCTCATAATTTAATACATTTAAGAAAAGCAGTCAAAATAACGCATGCAACTGCAGTTCTGCACCTAGCCTTGCCAACCCTCGTGTACCTTCCTACTAACTTTGTGAATAGCCTTGTTATTATCTCTTACTCATGAAGTGCACAGTGAAAAGTGTAGGGGAACCAAAGCATCACTTTTTTTTGCAATTACGAACAAATATTGCAGTGGACAGAATAATGGATGCAGGTAGCCAAGATTTTGAATTGAAACTATGCATCCCAATAACCTGAGTACAGCAGATCTTTTCTCCTCCAGCAACTTGCACAGTTCAACCTTCAACCACACTACCTGCATGTAATTCAAACATTAGTAATCAAAGAAATGGCACAACAACAGAACTGCTCTTCACCATCTAACATCAAAAGGCTAAATCGCCTAAACTTGTATTAATGTCATTGAAGAAGGGAATATAAATTCCAGGTTTCATTGATGGTTGCCACAAACAAGACAACAAAGGGAAGCAAAAAATAAAGCTAGAATAAAAACCAACCCACCCAGATACGGAAAGACTTGCTAATGAAGCGAATGCACCTTCAATTTTAGCATATAACCAGCATGTCCAGTTTGAACTTTGCTGATTGAAAGCATGATGTTTTTAAATACTTCAAATTAGTGTAAATCAACTCTGATCAAGAAATTCTAGATGAACGAAATATATTTCCCTCCCCAATAATTTTTCCACAGGTACATAATAAAAGTGGCTGTTTGCATTCCAAATGAGTAGTCACATCATTGCCCCAACAGTCTATATGCCATTGTTTACATTATTATCTTCCTACACACCATTCCAATCAGAGCAGAGCCCACAAATTTTCTCCCCTCATATATGACTTCAAAAATATGGCCGCTCCATTCCAAGCACACATTTGCAATCATGGTCAAGCTGGTGTAACTAAACGACTTCAGTAGAGAAGGGTCAGTTTGAAAGAAAGGATGGTCCATCAATTTACATTTCTACAATTTCTACTTTGCTACAATCAAAATAATGTGCAGTCATCTACCCAAGGGGATACTGTGAATAAACATCATAGACAATAATTGATAGGTAATCATCATTAAATTTGTAAAACTTCTGTATCTAGGAAAAGATTATGCTCAAGAAAAGGGGTAAATGTTTAGCTACCTGATCTTGAAGATCTGGAACACTATCTATTTCTGCATCCCCTGTCAAACTAATAAGAACTTCGTCTGCATTAGTGGATCCAGACTCTGAACGAGACAATTCACCAGTAGTCTGTTTATTTGTTCCCATCAGTATTGACTTAGGATCATGGTTAAAATTATATAGCTTAGTTGCCAGACCCTGAGAATCCCTCCAAGCTTGAAGCCCCTTTGTTCTTTCCTCAACTGTAGTTATAACAGCTCGTCGATGCTTATTTCTCAGCTCTTGTAATCTAGTTTCATTTACATTTTGGTAACCCATGCAGGCTGTGAAGACAAGTTGACTGCTATCAAATGTAGAGCCTGCCAGTGACTGTAGCAAAGTAACTGCATCTCCTGCATCCTTAGTGGTAACTAATGCAGGGCCTACAAAAAACTGAACTAAATTAAGTTCCATAAATTATAACAGCCTCACTTGAAGATAGAAAAACCAAGTTACTGTCAGCACAGTAAAAAAAAAAAAACAACTCGACATCATTTCTCATTACCATATAACTCCATCAAAGCAAGTGCTGTCCTAAATAGCATGACACGGTTTCCTTCATAAAGGAGGACATCCCAGACTCGGAGAACTGAGGTCAGGAGAAAGTGTCAGATGTCAAGCTTATAGCTAGGGCACAATGCCATGAGAATAAAGAAATTAGAAAAACTGTCGATGTTGAAGTGAAAAACTTTATCATGCAATGTTGGACAAAATTAAGTTCAATCTAAAAGTGTAAAACCTGACCACTTTCCCACGGAAGCATATTCATGAATATGGAAAGGAACCATGGACCCGTAACCCAAGCAACCTGCACTCCCAGGTAATCAAGATGATTGACTGCACAAAAAGTAAAGCTGGGATAAGAACTCACTGAGGAAGCATCATCAAAGAAAACTTATGGATGTATCAATAATGAGAAAAGGGTCAGACCCAATTTAGGAAACCTTTCGCGTACCAGCTCCTCAAAAACAAGTTGGTCAACCTGACAAATGGAACAATTGATCAGATACTTACCCATACCCACCCACTGATCTCAGCATCGTAAACATGTCTTGGCAGAGGAACAGACACAGATATACAGAAAGGCAGATTTATAGCAAGTATTACCTGTGACTCTATCATTTCCTCTGAGTAATACCCATCAAAATAGTCATCAATGATACCCATCAATGTCCTGGGAATTAAACCAAAATTTTGAAGCACGACAATGTCAATATTGATCTGACACAGGAAATATAAATCCAAAAACAGTGTTCTCTGTCATGATCAACCAATGTTCGAACATGGAGCCTTTCTTTCTCGATCGTCCACCTTAATCTTACAATACAAAACTACAGCAGTGCTCTTCTACATACAAGGACCATCCAATTGGAAAAAAAATATAATGTCAACTAAAATTCAAGACCTACCAAAAGGCATTTTCTTCAGGCATCAGAAGTAGTAACAATGCAGCAAAAAAATTCATGGCCTGCATATATATTGAACCCAACAACATATTAGAATTCAACTGCATATTCTTACAAAAAAATAAGAGTTATTCAAGTTGAAAAACTTGTTTCTTTAGCTGAAACTTGTTCGCACTGACAAGATATTGCAGTCAAATCACATTTTTAATGATGTAACTTCTGTCTTATCTACTAGTATCCTCTTTATTCAAATATATCTCATAAGATGAGAGAAAATTGCACTTGAAACTTATAAGACTTCTTTCAACTTAGATGAAAGTGTCAAGGATAGGCTGTTGCAATTGCAAGCTAATCTTTGCATCTGTGTAGATACTGCCTAAACTTTAATAACATATATTTGTGATTTTAAATCAACCACTGATAATTTTATCACATCTCTGACATTTCTGGCTAATGATAATATTATTCTTCGAAGTGATTTCGAATGCTGGCAATAATAAACAGTTCACTCGGAGCATTCAGAAATTGATTGATTTCAATCAATCATCTCATTTGTGTCTGTTGAATTTATGCAGAGAACTTTTAAGTTGCGCAAAAATTGTTAAGAGTGCAAATTGCTCTTATTCATAGCTTCATCGTAGCTTTTTCATCTTCCTTAAGCATGTCATGCAATTCATCACACCTCCAGATATATATATATAGGTACACTGGCAGGCCAAGCCTTGAATGACAATAGTTGATTTCATTGAGTACTGTAAGCTGTTGCAAGTACCTGACAGTACCCAACGGAGGGGTTGTGTCGAGCATATGCTGTCAGCAATCGCCTCAGAGCATTTCTACCATCATTGTCCAAAGCAGGATGACCTGGGAAAGTTCTAGGCAAATCCTGCACATGAAACCCTAATAAGTTGGGTGACTTGGATAGAGAATACCAAATAGACGAAAGTAGGTCCCATTCTAAATTGAAAGACTATACGTGTCATTACCTTCTCAATCTGGCCTTTCCATTTCTCTGGTACACAAACAGTATCTATAGTTGAACCCTTAGTATCACTGTCTGACTGTTGGTCTACAAGATTTCTGGAATTAGTTTCCAAGGCAAGCAGATCCTGGTAATACTTTTCCACTCGGCGTGCCCTTACACCCGCAAATGCTTGCCAGAGCTAGAATTGAGAGCATAAATCAATTTTGAGGCTCATGCACCATGAAACAAACTTCATTTGAGAAGCAAAGGAGGGAGAAAAAGAGTACAAAATATACCTCTCCCCTGAGTGCCATTGGGACTCCCCCACGTACAAGGACATCCAGCTCTTCTTTCCAAGGAAATGAAGATTCTAGAGGCAGCGCATCAGCAGCAGTACCTGTGGCAGGGGTACTAGCACTGTCACTGGGAGGAGCATCTTGACTTAGATCTGATCTCTCCACATCATAAAACTCATCTTCAGAATCCTCTTCAGATGCTCCTTTTGGTGATTTAGCATCTACAAAAGTAGGCACCATCCTATCTCTTTTAGTCTCTTGTTGGTCTTTTAATTGATTGTCTTTCTTCTTGACACGAAGACTCATCATATCCTCAATGGCATGAAGGGATGGTCTGATCTCAGTCCATATTTGGATCCTATGAATTTTTTTATTGGTTGAAGACTGTTTCTCCTCCTTTTCTGTAACATCTTCCAGTAAAACACCGGAAATAGGTTTCTCACCACTTTTATCATCTCCTTCAATGCCCTTCTGTAAGCCATCTCTGGTCTCTTGCTCCGTTGCTTCAGCATGCAATTCTTTGTTATCTTTCTCAGAAGATATCCCATTCATCAGCAATTGAGCAGAGTCAACTTGCTGTTCCAAGAAGGTTTGCCATCTATCCGATCTTTCCTCCTCTTCCTCCTGAAATTACAAGTGGATCAGAAAGGCAGGAAAAGAAAAAGTCATTCCTTTTGCCTTAGTAAGAGACTGCTTTCTCTCAAGCTCTATTTGGTTGCTTAAAAAAAAATAGTAAAAGCAGATAAATTAAATTTTGGATAAATAAAAATCCTGATCACCAAGGAATTAAACACAACGAGCCTCATTTTTCAGTTTAAGTAATATTTGGATATTCTCTCAATCAACAATATTTAAGCAACCAAACCATTGATCAACAACTTTCTCAACAAGTAAACAGACTATTCAAATTAAAAAGAAAGAAAGTATGACAGAGGCAAGCAAACCTTGTAGATATTAGCATATTCTCTGTATCTTTGTACATGCTGCGGTCTTACCGCAAATCCATAGGCATCCCTGTCCACACAAATATCCATTAACAACATAACACCTCCACAATAAAGATTCAAGAAACTTCGCAAATCACCAAAATACGCACAAACACTTCACTCCGCAATAAAATACAAAAAAAATAATGATCATAACTCTACAATAACAATTCAAAACCCCGATTAAGCCAAATCTTATTAAAAAATAAAGTACAATTAAGCTGAATTTACCTGCAATCAACCTCGAAATCTCGCTGACTCAAACTAAACAACGCCATATTCCACTTAAAACTCCATTTCTACTCTCCATATCTCTCAACATTACCTCAATTCACACTCAAAATTACTATACAAAAAGAAAACACACTGCATTTCACACTTAATTCCTAAACAAAGCCAAAAACATCACGCATTAGACTATGACGGTAATCAAAATTCAAACAAATCAGACTCGGTTCTAAATCAACTCAATAATAATCATTAATCAAAGTCAAACAGTAATTATCAACGCGATCGATCAAGGAAATGCAGGTGCTAGTGAAGTTCAATTCAATCACGGCAACTGTCGGGACCGGAAGTTGATAGATCATCACAAAAGAAAGAAAGAAAGTGACGCGTGGCGAGAGAACATAGGAGAGGATTTATGATGTACCTCTTGTGTTCAAAGGCGGAGAGAGGGTTAATAGATTTAGTTTGGTCCTTCATTTGCTGGATAAATTTGATTGGTCCGTTTTTTAAGCTTTTCTGTTGAGATATTGGCGCAGGCAGAGAGATCTCACTCTGCAACTGATTTTCAGGGAGAGAAAAGGAGAGAGATTGCGTTTGTGTTTGGGTTTTGTGGGAGTTTTAAGTGAAGGGGGAGAGTAGAGTGGAGCAAGAGGGAGGGGCACATGCGAGTAGCGAGATTGGCGTTTGCATTATTTCATGTGAGATGCGTGCGGTGTGTTGCAGTTTTTTTTTTTTTTCTTTTTTCAGGCACGGAGTTCAAGGAAGTGTTTAACGGAGGAGGGAGAAAGGGGCACTTTTTGGTGTTGGTAAAATTTGATGTCTGTGTTTTGCTAATCAAGGGACCCGCGATGTGGAGGAGATGGATCAGTATAGGAGCGGGTAGAATTAGAAATGGCGTGGATGATAACGATGATTATGATGCCACAAGGGTGCTGGTATGCACTGTGAGGAAGTACAAATTTGAGTTTTTGTGTTGATTATGAATCTAATTTGGGAAAATAATAAATAGTTTTCCTATTGATGCTAATGTTTTCCATTAATGTAAATGCAATTGAGATAAGGAGAGTCTTATTTTGTGAAAGATATTATGTTCTATTCTTCTATAGTGTTGTTTTTGGAGGAACCCAAGAAAACTATGAGAAATTTTTTTAATAAATACTTTAGTTGGAGGATTGAGGAGATAATTAATCCTAATACATGAAAGGTTAGTTTAAAAATATCTTAATAATTAAAAAAATCATGAAAAAACGATATTTTTTTTCACAAAAAGTTCTTCTTTTCGAATGAAAAAGCGGTGCTTTCAGTATCTCAAGAGGAAAAAATGTTTGGTATAGAACACAGATTTGTTGAGTTTTTCGTTTTGGGTACATTAGTTTGATTGAGAGGTGCGGAGTAAATAATTTCTTCATACGGTAACGATTGTGTCGGCAATTAAACTTTTTCCTGTTTCGAGAGGGACCAGCCATGCTTAAGATGATGCATTGGGTTCATGCCTTATCCAGTCTAATATGATATTATGTAAATACTAAAAAGCCATCCCGACTCATGACGATCACCGAATGGGCAACATAAGATGAGTGGGGTTACTTCAGACAAGCAGGCCCAAGAGTACTATCATTGGTCCCATATAATTACCAGCTATTACGAAAAGTTGCATGTTTTTTGTTGCGACCAATTTGACCATGGCTTGGGTGCTCATTGCTCAACAAGGAGTTGGTTGGACAAGTCCTTGTGAGTTGTGAACATGGAGATGGGTTTTGTGTTTATTTAAACTTAAATTCTTAAAAAAAAACTCATAAAAATCATGTATGGAGAGTGGATGGCACTTGGCAGTGGCCTTTATTCAATTTTAGTTTTATGATTTTTAATCTCTTGGATAAAAAAAAAATTATGTTTAAATCTACACCGTCTTTGTTTTTATGTTTTTTTATTTTAATAAAACAGGTTTAAATTTAAATTTTATTTTAATTTATTTTTATATAATAGAAGAAAATTTTCTCCAATTATTTAACTTAAAACCGAATGGATCTCTCGATAAAAAAAAAAAAAATTAATCCATAAAAAAATGCCTAAAATAATTTTTGTAGGCCAATGAAAGTAAATCCGGCACTTTTGCTTTTTAATTATTGGACAAAATTGTTAAATCCTCTTGATTGGATAATTAATAGGTATTAAAAAAGAAAAATATGTATCGTTTTGAGTCATTGAACCAAAAAGTTAAGGTCACATTCATTGTAATTGATGTTCGATTTTATCTTAACGTCTCAAACAAATTCTCCATTGCCTCCTGTTTATTATTATGTAGCAGTTTCGTATGTTTAGTTTCCTTTATTTTTAAACGTTCGATTCGCAGTTTGAAGGTAACCAAATTTTGTTTATTGCATTTGCATAGAATTCTTCGTTGTAGACTTTCAAGTTTCAGTAGTGATCAAGATCAAATGAGCAAACTTTCCCTTCAATCTAGCCGTAGCTTTATAGATATTCTCATGGGTTATCTTCACAAAAAAGCATTGTTGTGAGACCTTTCACTTACCTCTCCCAGCATGAACTAGGCTCAAGGCGTTAGTTTTGCATTTTGTCTCGTGGGCAAGAAGTCCCTTTTCGTCGCAAATCGTGCTTTTTAAACAGCACATAAGCATACAAGAGTTATCAAGGGCAAGGCCAAGTGAACCGATTACCGAAGGGGCAGAATAAACCTCCGAGCCCTCACTTCCTATCAGCTCCTTTTTAATGCTAAACACTTCTTCCGTTTTAAGGGAAAGGGGCCAAGACATAAAGTTTAGTAAAGCGGACCGATCCGAGCTGTACGTCTATGGTCTGAGCATAAAAGCCCACGATTGATGGTCTGGTTTTTCATATCGAGAAATCAAGATGTATATATCTACGCTAGTTACATGGAGCTCAGCGTTTAACAAAACTATCACGCCGTTAGGTGGTGCGTTTTGTGAATTGTCATCTTGTCCATAAGCATGGAACTAGACGGTTGAAAATAAAATAGTAATAAAGAGAGAGACACGTAGGTGATTCATGATCCGGGCGGCATAGCCTCGTGATCCTTGAATGTTGTTCCGTCCTTGATGTTTTTTTTAAAGTGTGCGAGGCCAAATCGAAGTGTTTCGTGTTAGTGATCTATTTGTCTGCATGAGCACATATAATATATTAACTGCATTTAAATACTGTAAGATTTGTTATTATGTTATCATCTAATCTATTGAGTTATCTGCACTCGTAATTGTAAGAAAAAGTCATTAAATTTGAATTCATAATTTTTTATCAGTTTATATAAGTTTTATTCAAGTCACGAATATAAATGAATCATTTGTATAATGATTTAAATTCAGTTTCTATTACTAGTTCACTTTTTTCTTTTTCAGTTTCATTATAAATTATTATTAAAATTTTAAATTAAATTGTTGCATCATAATTTTTCTGTTATTAATGATTTTAATATACATTAAATAAGAAAATAGATAGTTATATGAACTGTTTTATACGAAAAACCACATATTTCGATCACTAAGCTATCGTTTGGTTATCATGAATGAAAAGTTTGAAATAAAAAATGTATGAATTGAAATAAAAATTAGAGAATCGAAAGGTATTTATATTCTCATACTGTGTTTGGAATACTAATTAAGAATTGAAATGCAATTTAAATTTTTTAATATCCGATTTTTTATACAAATAAAAATAATAATTAAAAATATATTTATCAAACTATAATAATTGTAAAAATAATAAAGGTGATAATAATAGTGGTACTTGTGGAGGTGGTTGTGGTTACGGTAGCGATAATAGTAGTAAAAATAATTAATATACAATAAATAAATAAAATATATTATTATTTTTTAAAAAAATTATTCTCATTCTTTATTTTTTTAATATATTTTAAATGAGAATAAAATTGTGTTTAATTTTTATTCTTATTTTCACTTTATTTCGTTCAACCAAATAACTATAAAGTGAAAATCAAACTTTCATTCCTATTTCCATAAGTATATTCCTACAACTAAAGGTTATAAGTCGAGCCACAAAAAGAATGTCTTGATTTATTGAGTTAGACATTCAATTCTTGTCATTAAAAAATTCTTTATATTCAATTCTTGCCATAAAAAAAATTATTATCTTTCCTTTATGTATACCACACTCGATATAGATTACAGGTAGATTCAAAGAATTTTATTCTTAAAATGGATAAAAAATTAAGCATACTAGCATCATGATAACTAACTATTTGAAAAGATTACAAAAAATAAACTCTTATTTATTAAGCATTTAAAAGGGGTAAATTTATACTTTTCAAGAACACGAACTAAAATAAACTTTTAAGGGCCACCCGACGCTATGGCATAGCTCCGGCTCCATGGGAAAGCAATCTCGAGTTAACTTTCGTATGTCAAAAGCAAATTCTTTATGGCGAGAGTAAAGCTCTTCTCATAAAACTTAGACTATTTATCTTTATTTAGATTATTGCACTTGTAGGTTTTTTTTTTAATAATTTCTATTAAATTGGAATCCAATATAACAAATTTGCAAAGAACCAGGGATCAAGCAGCCCATAAGTCCTTTTAGGAGATTCAACCATTTCAAAATTTGCATGTTTGGCAAGCTGATTTTGACAAATAAGATTTGTTAATGTGTTTTACGTTGATTTTCTCATATCACTCCATGATATACATCTATATGTATTTTTTAGAAATGTCCATGTGTTGTTTGGTATTATTGTTGTTTTAAAACATAATTGCTTATGTTTTGTCGTTATTAGCACACAAAATGAACATAATTAAATAATAAATATTAACATAATAAATAAATAAATTTATTGTAAATTAAAATAAATAAAGAATTGAAGTTTTTTACTTTGATGATTAGAAAAAATTAGTGATCAAAATCACATTACCATATTTTACGATATAAAAATGATCAAACCATCAAAATAGTTTTATCATAATTTTTAGATGATCGACTCGAGGCACAACCGAGTTGCTTTTTCAAAACGATACATGTCATCCGTAGAATTTATCCGATACAACGGATAAGGAATATTTTATATATCATCTCGGAGATATAATAAACTCAATCATTTTGTCGTATCTTAGTAAATTTGTACTATTTGTAAGACTTGAAAATTTAAAAACAATAACACTACTCTTATACAAAGATAAAACAAATAAGTATTTTATGACTTTATAGTGAGAGATTAAATAACACAAAAAATGAAGAATTATTTTTCTTCTTCACTAGAAAACACTGCAATGGTTTTCTTTCTAAATAACACGAATATAAAAATGTTATGTGCTAAAAATGACAAAATCTCACACACACACACACACACACACATATATATATATATAAAGCAAGCTGAAAAGGAATCGTTTGTGAGAAATGAATATTCTTTTCTTAAAGAAATTTAATAGCCATTCTATGTTGAGAATATAATTAAAATGACAAAAAACCGTTGGTCTTTATATTTTATGCAATAGCTGCTTGTCAAGGCATCTACGTACTAGTTGCTTTGACAAAAGTTTGAGAAGAATCAATAAAAGCTTTGAGTATGGTTTCAATAGTACAATTTACTATTTCAAAACAGTAACTTTTTTTTCAAAGTAATTAATATAATTAAAAATTATATATTTATAAAAATACTCCAACATGTTTTACAAACAATATTTTGTCAATATGGTTAAAATGTATGTTACGATTGTTGCACAGGAGTGAAGTTCGCATGCTGTGTTCATATTCTCCATGCATTTCACAGTAAACTTTAATAAACTTCTATAGAAATAATCATTGACATCTCATAAAATAATCTTTATCGTGAATGTTGCTGGAATATTTTTCATTTAAGGATAATAATTAAATTTTCGTTTCAAAAGAGTATAAGTTACTGTTTGAAATGATTATTGGGAAGATAAATTGGTAATGTACGTGATTTAATAAAGGATTTTTCATGTGATAAAAAATTGATATATTATCTTATTTTAAAGAAACGGTGTTTTAAAAAGAATTAATGATGTATTTTGCTGATTGTCAGGACATGAGAACAATTTATATTATCCGCCGGTCTTCTGTGATAGTAAGAAAAATTAAAAAAAAAACTATGTGAAAAGTGAGAACATATAAAAAAATGCTAATACATCGAAACTTGATTGAGAAAATAATATTTTGTATTTGAAGTAAATTATCATAATTCTCTCTTGATACTGTTTGTATTTTTGTCATGTGAGTTTTAATGTAATGCTTATGGATATGTCAGGACATGAGTAATAAGTTGTGAATGTCATTGAAGAAATAATAGAACAATTTATATTATACATCGGTCTTCTGTGATAGTAAGAAAAAAAATATGTGAAAAGTGAGAGCATATAAAAAAATGCTAATACATCCAAAGTTGATTGAGAAAATAATATTTTGTATTCAAGGTAAATTATCATAATTCTCTCTTGATACTGTTTGTATTTTTGTCATGTGAGTTTTAATGTAATGCTTATGAATATATTTGTAAAAGCATTTTTATTATACAACAAGTATAACGATGCTTACAAAATATTTGACAAATACATTGTTGAGAGAATTGGTAGAATTAGCGACACTCTTATTATGTAATTAAGATACAACAATGTTTTGTTGACATGTTCTAATAAGACAATTTGTGATATTATAATTAATTTAAATATCTAACTAGATATGGATATTTCTATTGTATAAATAAGACACCACAACATCAAACTCATGTAAAAAACTAAAGATTGAAAAATATTCCTAATTATTTCAATGTGATTGTATTCAATGTTTACCATTGCATTAAGAAAAAAATTATAGTGATGTCATCATGCTTTAATATGGTGATGTTGATGGTGTGAAAAAAGAAATAATAGTCTATTTACTATTGGTTCACATATGCATGCGAAATTTAAATTGACTAAAAGGCATGGTTATTAAATAAGTAACCAAACGCCGTGCTTTGTCTGAAATAGTAAAAAGGAAAAAAAAATTACCACTTATCTTAACAACAATAAATTGATTAAGTTTTTATAATCTAATCCTTTAAATATGTATAAATTGAACATTGTGAGATTAAATATGTAGCTAAATTCAAAAAGTTTGATGATACATTTAGAAAAACGAGACCAAGCCCATAAAAAAAATCACCTATACTTTATCTAAGGACTAAAGATTTTTTAAAAAATGGGTCTAACAAGAAAAACAATTATAAAGTGATTTGATTATATGCATAATTTATTTGAATTGCACTATTTGCATGTCTATTTATATGGTGTAGAGCATGTATCTTGTGACAAAATAAATGTTAAGTTACTTAAATGAAACTTATAATATAATTTATATAGCTTTGTTTTTTTTTTTTTTTTTTTAATAGGATGTTAGCATCACGAGAGCATTCTTGATAGACACATCCATATAAATATGAATGCAATGGCACTTTCTTTGAAAACAAGGTGAATTCTCTAAAATGTTTAAGAAAGTTGGGATAAAGTACAAAGCTTTAATGTGTCAGTTTTAAAATTCATTATAAAGTACTTGAATATTATACATGTGATATAATATTTATTTCCACTACAAAGCCTTAATTTAAGATAATACTTACTATTAACCAGAGAATAATACAGATGAAACTATAAAGAGTTTAAGCCATTGATACTTTTTTTTATATCATATTCATTTCATTACTCAAATTGCATAAGAAAACAAAAATTAATTATTATTTTTTTAATTTAACATAGTTTTTAACGTTTTAATAAAAAATAAGTGAGGAATTTACAGTTACAAATTTTTTTTTTGAAACAGCACAAATTACTTATATTGTTGGAGTATTTAAAAAAAAAAAGACTAATTAATTTTTTTGTACCGTTTCGAAACGGATTTTTTTTAATATTCCAACCAATGTCTCTGGTTCAAACCTCAAAAGTGGATGAACCTCTAGGACCAAAAGAAAAAAAAGGCGTGATACCCAATGGGATTATTTCTTTACATATTTGGAGTTTAATCTATTGCTACAATGTGCTGTCATGCATTCACAAACTTTAATGACACTAACTATTGGGACAAGTCGTAAAATTTTCAGTAGTATTTCTTTCCATTTTTCGCAATCAGACGCCAAATATACAATCAGAGTATGTATACAGATTGCATATCATTTCATTTGATCATTTCCAACCCATTATTTTTGGTGACCATACGAAACAGAATATCTAATAAATCTACCAATACGTATTTGGTTAGTAGATGAAATGACAGGAAATAAGATTGAATTGGATGGAACCAAATTGTCCTCGAAGAGACGTGGAACAAACACTGGAACTTGTTTTTATAAGATGCAATAGGCACATAAGATACCGTTACAAATGAAAGGCATCCAGTACCAAGTACTAAAACGATATATCAAGGAACAAAAAGAAGAATTATTAGCCTAGTTTCGGTTCTTTGTTGACGCAGCTAGGAGTATGAGGATTAAATAGACATACACTGTCCAATACCTGGACTAGAAAAGATAACCCAAACGACGCTAAAAAAAGCCTAGGCGCGACTAGAATCCACCCACCAAATCAGGAACCAAAACAAACCTAACTTCTACACCGACAACACAAAATCATCTATCAAATTCAATCCCAGCCGAAAAATAAAAAATCCAAATCCTTTCCAATTCAACGCCACCACCATCATCGTCATCATGCCAACCCTTAAACTAAGCACGGCTGTTTCACTCCTTCACCACAAAAAATTAGCCCACACAATCACCACCACCTCCGCCACCCACCCCACCACCTTTCTCACTCCTCACTCTCTCTCTCTACCCCCATATAGCAATGACAGTTGGCGCACGTTAACAACCTGCGCACACTGCCCTTTTAATAAGAATAATAAAAATACTCCCTATTATTACCATTATAACACCACTAACAATAATAATAAAAATAGTAAAGCCTTCTTAGGATTTACGTTTCGTGGCTCTCTTTTATTTCCCTCACGCAACTCTAGTTCCTCCACTCGCGTCTCTAGATCCGATTCGCCGCATTCAGCTTCTTCTCCCGGGTCGGGTTTCATGTCCGATATGGGATCCGAGAATAAAATCGACGATTTTGATTGGTATAACAATGATCGTCAAATCCAACCACCGTTAACGTCATCTTCTATGCAGAATCACAATCAACATCAACATTCTAAATTTCTCACTTTGCCTACCGTTTTAACCCTCGGTCGAGTCGCTGCCGTGCCGCTTCTTGTTGCCAGTACGCAGCTTTTTGTTTTTATAGATTAACGTATATGCATTTTTAATGGAAATTTGGTGACTCTTGCTGTAGAAATGTGTTAATTTAATTGATTTTAATGACAATTTGAGTTGTGGATTTTACAACTGGAGTAAGTTTTTTTTTTTTTCAATTTATTGGAGGCATGAAATTAGTTTATTATGCGCATGAATTTTGTATGGATGCTGAATTTTGTTTTTAGCTCTACATTGTGAATATTTTTGGATTGCATAAATAATTTTTTAATGGTATTTCAATTCGAGGGTCTGACATGGTAATTTTTTCTGCAGCATTTTATGTGGATAGTTGGTGGGGAAGAACTGCTACAACAAGTATTTTTATTGTTGCTGCAATTACTGATTGGCTTGATGGGTACCTTGCACGAAAGGTGTAGTATTTTATTAATTGAAAAAAGGGGTAAATTTTGCTGTGATAATTTTGCTTGATTGGTTAAAGCTAAATGCTTTGTTATGTTTCAGATGAAGTTAGGCACGGCTTTTGGTGCGTTTTTGGATCCGGTAGCTGATAAGGTAATGGTGCTTTTTCAACCCTAGTGGAATTAGTATGTATGGTTTATGTAACTTGTGAGAACCACATGAGATTTCTTATTTGATTCTACTGTATATTAAATGCAGCTTATGGTTGCTGCCACCTTGATTTTATTATGTTCTAGACCTTTGGAAGTTGCAACGTTTGGAGAAGCACCATGGCTATTCACTGTACCTGCAATTGCAATTATTGGCCGGGAGGTAATGCATATAGTATTATTGCTATTACCTGTGATTCTTTTATCTTCACAACCAACGATAAGATCACATTTTGTGTGGCAATGCTCTTCGAAGCTTAATGTTGCATTTTAATGTTTTCTTTGGGGTTTCTTGTAAGTCCCTTTTAATTGGGTTTTGTAAGGAACTCGATGCCAGTCCTCTTCAACCATAGGCAATTGCATTAATGAATTATTAATTTTGTTATTTACTTTAATTTGTTATGTTTTCTATCCCCCTCCACTCCCACATGCCAATGGTGTGTCTTAGTTTGCCAAGTGCCTTATATCATTTGCTATTGTATCCAAATTTTATTTTTATTTTTACTTTTGGTTTAGTTTCTTTTTCTTCCTTCAGATGATCATATGTTCTTGTGTGATATTACGGGGTCATGTATGATTTGATCTGACCAATTGTTTTTGCTTTTTGTTTGTAGATAACTATGTCTGCAGTTAGAGAATGGGCTGCTTCACAGAATAGCAAACTTTTAGAGGTTTGTTTGCGATTGCCCAAGCTACTCAACCACCTCTCCCTTTTCTTATCGAACTTATCAAAAAATTTCAGCTGCTAAGAAGAGATGTTTTTCTATTAACTGTAATTTATATATTAAGAAAGCTTCCTGTTCTCAGGCTGTCGCTGTAAATAACTTGGGGAAGTGGAAAACTGCTACCCAGATGATTTCACTAACCATCCTCCTGGCTACTCGAGACAGCAGGTCCCACCTATTTTCTTTCACATGGTTCCTGCTGCTATATGGTCCATTTACTTTTAACTTGGAGATTGATGTCTGAGAGAAAATTTGTTGTGTCATTCCCGGTATCTGACAAATTCTCTGTCCTTGTCTTTTTTCTTCGCTGTGCAGTCTTGGAGGACCAGGGATTTTAGTACCTTCAGGTGTCATTTTGCTTTATATCTCAGCAGGTCTTTCTGTATGGTCTTTAGCTGTATATATGAGTAAGATATGGAAAGTATTGCTGAAGTAGTTTGACAGCCATGCTCTGCATTTGCTTACACATGCTCCTGAGGATGTATGCGGATGACATTGAGACACTTCACACATATCCTGTTTAATTATTACTCGCACAGACTGAGTTCCTCAAGTAGGTGGTGATTAAGGGGAAAGATGTTTCTTTTTTCATGGGAAGTTCTCAAAATTTAGGTTGTGTATGGTGTGGAGGTAGACTCCCTGTTCTTTTAAGGCTTTCCTAGTGTTTTTAAAATCTCAAAGCCTCTATGTTAGTTTGTTATACCTAAGAATTGTTAGGATGTAGATGTTGAAACAGAAAGTCTGATCAGAGCCATTTATAGTATGGATTTGATGCCTCTTGGATCATTGATGCCATGGGTGGATGCTGGAAGTATCACATTGTAATTTATTTGCGATAAAGCTGAAGAAAAATTCTCGTCCAGTCTAATGTAAACAAGAATTACAGAGAATTAACAACTTCAATTATTTCCCTGCTGTTATTAATTTTTACTGAGATACTCTTGCGGATGATACTCCAGTGAGATGCAATATTATGATCACATCATTCTGATGTTCTGTGGCATTTCAGGTTATTTCCAAAATGGAGTCATAGCACTGACTAATTTCAAGTTATTTTAAAATCTCTACTCGAAGCCATTAGATTATGATTTATCTTTCTTCATGTGGTAAGTACACAAGTGATAACATTGTTCATTTGACAGCCGTACTTTGAACCTAGTGCATGTGGAGGCCTTTACATGACATTGCAAGCTATTCTTTGTAAATTATAAGAGCCTTCTTAAGTTTATCCGGTGCCCTAGTCTCTGAAGCACCACTTGATGTCAGGCTGATACTGTAGCTAACACTCAAAGCAACCATAATTGGGTTGTTTTAGGCTTCCCTTTCTTGCTGAAAAAACAAACAAACAAACAAACAAACAAAAAGATGTATTTTTTCCTGTAGCTCTTATGCTTGTGCTGTTCGTATGATCATGTCCAAAGACATTATGACATGGATATATTGATGAGAAGCATACTGCATCCTCGGTGATTGTTGTCAAGACCATTATCCAACGGTTCCATAATTTTCATCTAAGAGCAAAACGCAAAAGCCACACAACAAAACAAAGCATAAAAGGAGGCCAAACTTGCCCCTTATTATTTATTTTCACTTATGCAGTTGAAGGTGAATTTACCCATGATTTTCGATCATGACAGCAAGCATCATTAACCTCTAGGAAACAACCCAAGGTCTTCCTAACGACAAGCAATCCATGATGTGACTATACATATAAGCTTTCAGACCTATTGTTGAAAAATCTGCACGAAATTATTTGATTTCATGGTAGAGACGGCACCATAGTTTTACAAATGAGCTTGCGCAAGAAACTTGGTCAGACAAGTAATCGCTACCATTTTCCTCAAATGCTAACGCAAGCTGCAGGCTTCTGAAATCTATGTATTCATAATCAATATGTCCGTCTTAAAATAACGTAACTTTATGATTAGAGAAAGGTGCCTATCGATATCAGAAAACACAGATGATTTCACAAGGGTTCCAGATTTTGCTGATTTCAAAACAAAAATATAGAAACACTAGGCGTTGTCTTCTCATATGAGATGCGGTCCGCCACATGATTAAGAAATCCTGGAGCTATTACCCGAAAATCTGGGCTTAATAATTTTGTTTTATGATGGACATGGAATGCCAAAGTTTCAGAGATGAGACTGCACAAGAAACATGGTAAGAGAAGCGAATCAGCTACAACTTTTATCATTTCTTACAATCTCTAGCATTCCAAGAATCCAACTTCTCGTCAAAATCTAGTACCGGACTGCATAGCGTTTCCTGTAGGTTTCAACATGCTGCTTTGGATCGCGCCTGGTTTGGTTGTAAGCCTCCATTTTGTTCATCTCCTACGCAGAAATAATTTATAATGTCGACATAAGCGATAAGTCAGTGTATCAGTAGATTGTATTTTCACAATGTTTCAATTGTTGAATCATAAGGTAGTTTTCCTGTTCGGTCTTTCAAAACAGGGCCACTGCTTTCATTTCTGACTCAGGAGACCAGTACACTCCATCTAATCACTTAGCTATTCAATATGATTTGTACCACTGCAGTATAGACCATTAACAGGATGACAAGGGAATAGAATAGAAGACAGATTCAGTAGTTAAGAGCATACCTCCATCCAAGCAGCTAGTTTAGGCCTTCCTGCAGTGATATCATACTTCTTAAATTCTAACAATGTAGGCCGAAATCTTTCGATAAATGGAGCATAAGAGATATCCGCCTGTCCACATCAGAACGCTATTCAGATTTCAATTATATGCAAAATAAAATAGATTTGAGTGAAAATAAAAATTCGCTATAATAAACTTTCACGGACAGATAAAGCATCATTATACCACACTCGAAGGAAATAGAACTCAAGCTAGCTTGTAGCAGATAACAGATAGCAGATATAATTGCCATAGGATATGCAGGACATTTCTCTCACCAGACTGAACTGGCCAAGGAAAAAGGGTCCATCTTCAAATTTGGAAAGAGCCGTTTCAATATAATCAAATGCAGCACCTGGGGCAATTCACCGCTTCAGTTACTTTATTCCTGTTTGTAGCGAACAGAGAAACATCAAAGGCAGCAAGGATTGTACTCACCAGCTTCATCTGCTTCTCCTTTGAGTGTTGAATTTATGGCTTTGCTGAACGAACCTGTGTAGGAAAACAACTCCTCTGCAAATTCTTTCTTTGCAGGATCCTGTGGTTCACAGTCTGAACATCAATTATCTATTTCAATGAAGAGCTCAAACACAAGATATAGAGGATGCTCTAAATCTTACATCAGGAAAAAGTGATGGCCCATCAAAGTGACTGTCGATATATTTCATTAAATCAAGAGATTCTCCTTTCACTTCATTATTATGTTCCAGTGAAGGCACCTGCATAAGAATTTTGTATAAACAATCCAGGAAGAAGACAATACCAATAATTGGGATCGTCACCCAGCTTAACCTTGTTGGTAGGATACACTTTCTCCTTGTACCAAGCAGGCCTATCGCGTAGATCAATGGGAACCAATTTTATCTTGTCCTGAAGTCCCTGCTCTTGGAATTTGATGAAAAGAAAACATTACCACAAGCTGATTGTATTGATTAAATCAAGGTCATGAAATGTTGTAGAAATAACCTTGCAATTCCGGGTAATCCACACACGCTGTGCATAAGGACATGTGTACGATATATACAACCTAAAACATAGAGAATGCAACACAAACCGTGGTAAGATGAATTGCTACTCAATTTACTATATAAGAAGAAAATGCTTCGATAGAGGATAACAAATTCGGCAAATTTATCGTTTTATCATACTAACGTAAACTGTGAATTTGCAAGCAAGTGAAATAAATGAGACCGTACCTTGATGTTCCATCAAAAACTGGAGGTGGGTCTGAATTAGAAGTAAGAGCTGGTGGAAGAACTTCTTTCCCACTCCTGTACAGAATTTTGAGAAGAAGAAAAAACCTTTAAAATCCGCAAAAAGAATGAAAAAACACACTGCCCTTTTTGATTGTCAAATGAAAAGAACTTGGTGACAAGAAAAATTGTAATACTTGTGAAAAAAAGAAGTCACCCATTTTTTTTTTTTTTAATTAACAAAATTGCATACAGAAAGATGAGAGGTGCCACTTTTTCACCATCTTATCTTTTTCTTTCATTTTCTCAGCAAGCAACCAAACAGAAATACTAACCACCAATCTAATTAATGCAAGCATGTACATGTAAGGACAAGTGGCATACCCAGTAGCCATTGTTGCTGATATGGGACTAGTTCTATGTTTGCTTAGTGGTTGTCGTTGAAGTGAATGATGGCATGATAGTTTTATGGCATTAGCGTTTAGGAATCTTGCTGTTTTCTTAGATGATAGATCGAAAGAGAAACGAAGAGAAGGCTGTTTTAAAGACGTCAGTGGTGATGAACCATTGAAATAGTTGATAGGCAGTAATATGGCCATGGGTTGTCGATCGATTGGATTTTTGAAGGGTAGTTAGGTTTGTACATACTTTTTTGAGAATTTCTTACATATAAAACACACGGAAGGAAGTCTGCTTCGGAGAATTCGAAAATCTAAACTACCCCTTTTAAATTTTTTGTATTAACAAAAAAAATTAAAATAAAACGATTGGTTACAATTTGAAACACAGTTGTTTATGAGATATTATACTGTAGGCACAGATTCAGTCTGGCTGTTCCTTTCGCTGTTCTTCTTGTTCTTTCTATTCAAAAATGGTTTTTTTATTCTTTTCCCAAGGTAGATAGAATCTTGTATTCCACACTCCTCAATGAATTATCATCACGCAAAAAAAAAAAAAAAAAAAAAAAAAAAACAGTTCTCGAACCTGCGACAGAAACCATTTACCCATGCGGGTTCCTTTATTACGTTTTGTGTCTGTCTCATAAGTCATATCAGTATGCTTTATAATCATAGGCTAGGCCCATCATTGATCTAGCTGGCACAATTCTTTATCAAGAGGCAACCATCACAGCCTTTTTTTTTTTTTTCGAAGTTGGCACCCCATGGGTCATAAAATTATGTACAAACCTGAGCCAAGGGACAATAGGGATATACTGATCTGTGGTCTTCAAAAAGGCTTAGCAGGAGGTGTATTTACTCCCCGCTTTATCATATAATTTCGAGTTAGAATGTAAGAAGAGATTGATGAAGATTACAGAGAAATTCATATGCTACTATAGTCTCCGTGACGCAAAAGCTAGCCTCAAGATACACACGGTTAAAACACAAACACAAACAATCACCCGATGGACCTATTGCTCTGTCAAGCCATGCAGTAAAACGCAAACCGATGACGCACAAATATCCCGATGATTTCTAATTGCAATACAAGTTCAGGACGATGAAGGAGAAAACACATGGTAAGCTTGAAAAAGAGCAGGTGGCAGAACCAGATTCACGAAAAAAATGACAACTCAGTGAACTGAATAATATTGTGAATTTGACTTTAAATGGGATTGTTTTTTCTAGTTCTTAAGGCAGTTGAGTAAAACCACAATTGTAAGTGAGTAGCTTATCAAGTGTCATATGCCAATAACCAGACAGCTACAAACAAAAAGGCTTTTGCTGAGGTATGTCTCTGTCAAGGCATCGACTATACTACCAAAACAGGTCTTTTAAGACATTACTGAAGTAGGTTTCAGAGACGCGTGGCTATACAATTGGAAAAACAAGGGGGGAAATATTTTAACTCTCCTCTTCAAAGAAAAAATTGTTTCTCAATACAAATGAAGAAATGGGGATAGAGTGCAAGAATTCTCGAACTAAGTGTTGCCATTTCCAGAGACACCACAACCTCCCTTAATGGAAATTAGCGGCCCACGGAAGGAAAAGCGACTGACAAGATTCGAATCAAGAAACAAAACTATGACTGTGATATCGTCATGAAAATGTCTCCTGACACCACGATCAATCTTTTTCAAGTCTGAATATCTCATTTCTCTTTTCTTTGCTGCTTCACGAAGTGCAGCTTTGAGAAGTTTCCTTGCAACACCCTGCAAAAACAAGGATAAGTTAAGGTCTCTTCGTACGCAGAGGAAAAGGATGACTCTGAAAATTTAGAAGTCATCATTGCCTGAATTTGATCATAGACAGCCATAAACACAGCAAGTCATATGAAGACAAAAGAAAGTTCAAATCATAAACAGCAATCCTACATTACGTGGACAACTGTGGACAATGTCAACTGCCTCCTGATTGCTTAGGTGCTCCCACAGGCCATCTGATGCAAAGATAAGAAACTGATCTTCAGGGTAGAGTTTCTGCACTAAAATTGTTGGCTCAGCTTTAAGAATTGGTTCATCGAAGGGTTCAGGCAATCTAAATTTAGCTAACAGAGGCTCTCTGTTAAATTCTGCCCTTTTCAGATAGGCATCACCTATGGATCTTGAGATCTGTGGAAGTAACAAATATTTGCCAACTGATGAGATCGAAAAATAAATCATCAAGAATATAAAAAGCTACCATTTATCATCGTAGAAATAATAAGAAAACTTCAGAACCTAGTGGAGCATAGAAAAAAGCTTAATGACAATCATGATGCCAAAATAAAGTTGCACTACCCTAAAGCCAAAGCCATATAAAGATATGACCATAATATATTGCAATTAATTTGGGAAAAATAATGAAGAATGAGGCAATAAACAATTTTCAGTCTAAAAAAAACAGGCATGATAAATGAACTATATGAGAAAGGCTCAAAAGTCACCTGAATCAGACCCTTCACACGCCAAACGTTGTGCTTTAGAACCACAATATGTGGATCATCGGGGTGCAATGAATGCAACTCCTGTCTCACAGATTCTATACTTGCATTATGTTCATATGATAACTGAACTGCTTTGATCTCCTTAAGGGCCCTTTCCAATCTTCCTAATACCGCCCGAGAATCTCCTGCATTTGCAATGTAGAGAACACCACTACATACTACACCTACCAAACAACATGCACCAACAGAAGCAATCTGTGGTTTATTTAGCCACTGCTTCTTCACTAGAGAGAGAAATTCCTCTTCTGTTGCCAAAAATGCTTTGTTGATAACATCTGCTGACATTCCATTGTTTTCTGATGTGAATTCTGCACCATGAATAGCTGTCAAGTCAGTAAACATGTGCATTAGCCATATAAACAGGAAGTTAAATTAGGCCGAAGAAAATAATTTTTTTAGATAAAAGAAAATTGTATTAAGATCTCAACCAAACAAACAGAAAAACTTGAAGGAGAATAAGCTATCCTCCAAATAAAGGAAATCCAAAAAAGAAAACTACATCTAAAGCAGCCCAATCCTGTTCAATATTCAATAAGGAAACACCCCTAAAAGCACCTGAAGCACGACACCACGAGGAAGAACGAAAAACTATCCTGTCCCATGGCAATTGTTTCATAGAGTATTGATTTCTGAACACTCCAACCAAGTACACCAAAAAACAGCACAGATGATGCAAAACCATCAAGTCCTTAACTCTTTCCTCCTCCAAACCAACAAAAGTCAAAGACAATTGATCTGCCACTTTCTGCACAACAACCCAAGACTCTCGCTGAAACTGAACAATCTACCCCACAATCCACATATCCAGAAAAGAATAAATCATCCCCAATAAGAAAGAGGGAGAAGGAGTGAATAATACGCCAATGACATTGGAAACACAGTCGGCTTTATGAATTCTGGAAAATAACAAGCATACTAGCAACTCATTGTAAAGGAGGTGTGGGAACCGGAAAAATGAAGTTCTCAAGCTCAGAACATAAAGAAGTTGATGCATCCCTTGCCATTATTCTTAAAAGATTGTTAATCGGACTTAGTTTTGACTTTCCATTAATCTAATTTGATATCAATTTTGACTTTCCATTAATCTTACATGACTTGTACATATTCTGAAACCTCTCTCTGTCCCTGATTGAAATCCAAAAAAAACAATATCCTTCAAAAAAAAAAAAAGCACTCTAAAATCACTTAGATAATCTGTTTTAACCTGATCATGCAAAATCAGGTTTTTCAAGAAAATGTGGCCCCAAAAGAATCTTTATGGTGGGTGTAAATTACTCGAGGCACTAAAACATAAAAAAACAGTTATCCATCGGACTCATGAACTTCCAAACGGCCCAACAACAAGATGAAAGGAAACAAAATCATAACCAGACATGGAAAGCTAGATTTCACTAATGACAATCATGGACCTATCACAGAACCATCAACAGACCAAATTGGGATGACATGAATGACAAGATAAAATCATTTGAATAAGAATGAAATTCATCATGGAAGAGGAAGAAAAGCATACTCTTGATGTTTTCGAAAAGGTGTTCATTTACAAACCGGGCAGCTTCTGGACCTCCATGGCCATCATAAACTCCTACAAATGTTCCTTGAGGACCTGAGTCAACTGAGCTCATTGGCCCTGATTCAAGTTGACTGTAGTCTTCCAATAGACTGTTTGCTTGAATTACTGCCATTGAAAATTCCCCATTAACATGCTGACCTGAATCCTTGTACCATAACAATCCCTCAGCTCTACCAGCAGCATCCCCACCATTACTTGAATTTTCACCCTCGACGGAAGGCTTCCAACAGGGTGAAACAATTCGCATCAATGTAGTCGATACCATTACTCACATATTCTCCCCCAAATAACCTAGAAATCAAACTATTCCTTGAATCAGTATCAGTAAGTATATAAGAGAATAATCTTGGCTCTTGTTTCTCCCCAATCTCCAAACCCGCAGCAGATGTATCAGAAATCAAACCCACATTGAATGCAGACACCATTAATCTGCAGAGGGTACAATATTATGAAACCAATGAGCATGTCCAAGAAATTGCATAAAATGAATTTGACACATATCAGAATCCACAGACCATAAATCTGACAAGTATTTCGCAATAAACAAATCACAAATTTAGCACAAACTAAATAGCATGACATTTAGGCAGGAACCAAAAAGCAGCATTACCTCATCAAAGATTCAAGATACAACAAACTCATTGCTGTGCAGGTCCAGAAACTGCACGATATGGGCTTAATTTTATTCAAATTTCAACACACCATCAATCTAATAAACCAAATGAATTTGCATATTCATAAACTGCATAATGTGGAGTTCAGGATATGCTTAAACCAAAATATGTCATCATGGCATGGCCACCATATTTGAAAGAGAAGTTTGAATTTTGAGACAATAATCAAACGCAGGCATCATCAAATCGAACATTTTAATGATTAGGACGCATGTAATGAAAAGGACCCAAAACTTGAACATCATAGCACATTATAAACTCTGACGATAATTCTATAACACACCTTGGGAATCTATATGTAGTTGCCTTGAGAGATCCTGGTCAATCAAATTGCAGACACCATCACCCTGAAACATTAGGAAAAAAAAAAAAAGGACAGATAAAAAGTACTGCCCAGAAAGTAAAAATCATGTCTTGAGACCAATCCCCTTGATAGAATCAAATTTGACAAGGGTTTGTAACAAAATTGGATAAATGAATTGCAAACAAGTAATTTTATTCTTTCTTTTTTGAGAATCAAAGAAGTTCCTAAACATACCTTCTCATCAATTTCAAAAGGTAAAGAACAAAACTGTATGATCCTTCAATGCAAAAGCCTTAAAATAAAAGCAAAAAGGCCCAAACTTTGAAGGATTTATTAGAAGAGAGAATCCAAGGGAAAGGATTTTTTTTTAGAATGTTCTAACAGAAAATAAGGTTGTAATAAAGGTAGATCTGGAGAGAGAGACAGAGAGATTGCGGAATCGTGATTGGTTAAAGATAGAGGACTGTAATTACTTATACAACAAATCTTGGGTTTTGATGGAAATTCATGATAAGAAGGTGGTCTTCTCTGATTCCTTGATTGGCTTATTAGGTTGTGAATTTCAGTTTTGTTTTTTTGTTTTTTTCTCTAATTTATTTGCCTTATGGGAGGGGTTTTGACTTTGACCTTGCAACAAAGCCGTCATTTCAGGCAACTTTTACTCATCTCTTTTCTCCTTTTTATAGTAAAGTTAAAACTTCCTCTTTGTGAAAATTATTCGGAATATTTATTTTTTTTTCATATTTTTATTTTTGAAAATTCTCTCGTGAAAGTTGAACGTAACTTTTCGGACAAAGATTGTTGGTTTCTAAAATATGTTGAAATAGATTGATAAGCTGATGTTTGCGTATATTTGTACTTTTGAGCTGAAAATCATGAATGCTTATAACAAGTCAAAAAATAACATTTTACACATTGTAAAACTATGAAGATTAAGGTAATTTGATTTCAAAAATTGTATTATTGTTGTAGTCAAAGTTAGTCTTTCTAAATTGAAAGACGAAAACATTCAATTATGTGATGTTAATTTTTTTTATCATAAAAAAAAATTCAAATTGAAATGTTAAACATTTCTACCAAAAAACCTTAAAAAAAGAAATCTCATATTCATTGAGAATACACAGATTTCTTTCAAGTTCTAGTCAACAGAAACTTGAAGAGAATATTTTTGCCAAATTCAAAGTTTTTTGGGATAGTTCATGTACTTTTGTCAATGTCCTGTGGTTTTGGAAGTTTATCCATGTTAAAACACTCTTTTTTTTTTTTTAATTTTATAATCTCAACTACAGATATGTGTTTTTTCATCAATACCAAAATGCTAAGCTAGAAATTAAAATACCACCTAATTGTGAAATAAAATGAAATTACAGCATGACCTTATGCACTATACCCTGCTACAGGGACCCAGTTGCAATAAATAAAAAGCAAATAAAATAGCAAAATGCAAGGATCTTTTCAGGGGGCAATTGCAGGATAAGTAAAGTAAGAGAACCATTCTGAAAATAAATCAGAACCACAAGGACAAAACATCAAAGTGAAAACTCGTTTAGTTTAACATCACCAAAAATCTCTCTCTAACTAAACGATGCCATTTTGTCTCAACAACAACCGCTTTTTCGTCAAACTAAACAGCACCAGACCTCTTCTCTGTCCGATACGCCACGTGCGCTCCTGCTCACTGATCGTTCAGTCTCGTGCCACCATATCCAGCAAGTCAGCCATGGCATCGAACTCAGTCCGAGTCGCTGCAGCTCAGATGACGTCAATCAACGACCTGGCCTCCAATTTCGCAACCTGCTCTCGCCTTGTCAAAGTAAACTACCCTTTGATTTCTTGCTAGCAAACAGTTTTTGCTATTTATTACATTTTTGTTCTGGTTTTCATTATTGATTACGCATTCTAACATTTACTTAATCAAAAAAAGTGTTAGCGTTGACAATCAGATTAATTTCTTCAATTAGTGAATATTTAATTGATAATTATAATGGCGTTTTTTTACTTCTCAATACGAAACTGTGGAATCCTCATTATTCCTCAATATGCTTGTCAAACTCCGAGTGTGGGTCCCACGCATGCGCTTATTATTTATTTATTAATTTTTCGGTTTGGGATTGTAATGTGAAGGAAGCAGTGTCTGCTGGGGCAAAATTGGTTTGTTTTCCGGAAAGTTTTTCCTTTATCGCTGATAAGGATGGGGAAAGTGTTAAGCTTGCGGAACCTTTGGATGGATCAATTATGCAACAGTATTGTTCACTGGCTAGGTAATATATGAATTTGCTTTATTTTCTCTGCATTGTGGTTTTCCTTATTTTATTTTTAGATGATAGTCATTATATTCTTCGTTGGAATACTATTAGATTTTTTTTCTTTTTATTGGTGTATGGTTATGGTTATTGCACTGTGAATGTATTGGCCTTTTGAATTGCAGGGAGTCCGGCATTTGGTTGTCCCTTGGAGGATTCCAAGAGAAAGGATCTGATGATGCACACTTGCGCAACACTCATGTTATCATTGACGACAGTGGGAGTATTAGAAGCAGTTATAGTAAAATACATTTGTAAGATGGTTAATTTTATGTTTTGTTGTGGTGTTTCCTATCTTTGTAGTTCTTTAGTCTATATATGAGTATATGAGTATCGCTTGCTCAAAGTTTTTGTGTCGATTCTTTCTTTTACCTTTATTTGTGCTTATCATGGTTTTGTCTATCCATATGGGAGCTAAAAAAGGTTTTCTTTCTAAATAAAGGTTTGATGTGGATGTTCCTGGTGGACGGGTATACAAGGAAAGCAGCTTTACAGAACCTGGTGAACTCTTCATCTGTGTATCTGAATTGCATGTTGAATGAACAAATACCTTATCATATAAGCTTGGGCCTGTCAACACCTGCATTTGGTTCACTGTACAAATATTTCTGACAGATATAAAATACATTTTATTAGTTCGCTTTTGACTCTTGTGCTTTTGTGACCTCATGCTTGCAAATCTATGGAAAAACAAGTGACTACCAGCCAATATGTCTATTGTGGCATGCTTTCTGGATGACCTGGATGAAGATCTTCGAATACATTATTCTTCTTGGATTCAAGTATTTGACGTCATACAGTTTTCTAATAAGAATTAGCCATGTCATTAATGCATTCGTATGATTTCCCTTGCTTTTGTGAGCATTGTCATCTTCCTTGTTCCTTGTCAGTGCCTTTATACACAAATTTTTGTACGTAACTGGTCTATACAAATTATGTTTCCAGGAAAGGATATAGTTGCAGTTGACAGTCCTGTTGGACGCCTGGGTTTATCAGTTTGCTATGATCTGAGATTCCCAGAGTTATACCAGCAGCTCAGATTCCAGCATGAAGCCCAGGTATAATTCAGTTTGTTTACTCTCTGGTGTAACTTGACTTTTAATAACTAAAACATGAAGCATTTATTATCATTTGCAGATTTTATTGGTACCTTCTGCTTTTACAAAAATAACGGGTCAGGCACACTGGGAGATTTTGCTTCGTGCTTGTGCAATTCAGACTCAATGCTATGTATGAATGTATTTCTATCTCATGGAATTATGATTTTGTGTCAACTTCGCTCCCATTTGTAATAATTTGTTTTCCCTTTATCAGGTAGTAGCTGCGGCACAAGCTGGAAAACATAATGATAAAAGAGAAAGCTATGGGGACGCATTGATAATTGATCCTTGGGGAACTGTTGTTGGTCGATTGCCTGGTGAGAAATATTGTCTCTTGTTCTTGTGCTTCTTCCTATCCTTCTCTTCCTCTAGCTTGTCGTGCTTTTATTTAGGGGTGTTCAAAAAATCTTGTGAATCTGGGAACTGAACTAAACCACATGAACCAAACCTGAAAAGCAGGTTACTCGAACTTGATTATAGCTTTGGTTTGATTGAACCAATAAATTTCAGGTTCTAGGTTCAGGTTAAGGTTTCTGATCTGCGAACCTAGGTTAACCTAACTGAACCGAACCTGTAATAGATTAAGCATACCAAATGTGATTTACAGGTTTAGGTTTGGTAAACGAAACAAACCTGCTGTTTTTTTATATATAAACTCATTTTTTCTCTTTTATTTCCTTTATAAACTTCTGAGTCCTAAAGAGCAATGTTAGAGATAATACTATGTTTATGTTTATCCCAATTCTATTTAATAAACTTATTACAAAAGGTTTGTGTCCAATTAACAACTATAAAATAAATAAAAAAATCTTCAAGATGAACAATTATATTACTATTTACTATTCATTTATTGGTCCATCATATAAAATGAAATCTTAAAATTTTCTCTAATTGTACAATTATTGAATTAGAATATATCACATCAAAGAAAATTGTGGTAGCTATTAATTACACAAACACAACTATCTACAAGATTATGCTATTAGTTTTATATAATAATTTCCTTTTTGTTTTGAGGTTTTAACGTTAAGGGTATCCTCTACCCTCTAACCAGTTTTTGTGCATCAAACTAAGTTCTTTCCTTGATTGAGTCTTAATTGAAGATATTTAATAACATCCTTGATACTATATAATTAAATCCCATATATTATTGATACATGTAAAACCAAATAAAAAGTGAATATTTAATGCATATGAGCATACAAATTAGTAATAACTTAAAAGGAAAATCCTATTTTGTTAAATTACCTGAGTATTATGACATGAATTATGTAATAACTAAATACAAAAGAGGTTTTGAATGACTAGCTTATGAGAGATACTAATTACTCAATAAGCATGAATGATTTTTTATGCCATAATCTTATTATCTTAAATCACGTTTACCATTGTTAAATTAAGTAGTAACTATGAACTAAATATAAAAATAGATATTTTATAAAAAGTAATAATGATATTTGATGATATAATCATATTTTCAATAACATTTAATATATGATAATTCAGTTAAAAGATTAAACCACATGAATGTTACATAGAATTGGTTGTTAATTCATATATTTTCCTATACACATGTTAATGATACGTTATTACACTAATTTTACAATCTCAAGTACTTTATCCCATTAGTTATATAAAAAATTACAATAAATTCAAGTGTTAACAAATTAATCATAAATATTATATGGTGTGAAAAAATTAATGTCAAATTGTGATATTTATGGGATTCGAGCTTTTAACTAAAAAATTACAAAAGTTTAACTTATTGTTTAGAGTTATTTGATTTAAAAGCTCTTATTTGAAGTATTCCATATGTTTAGAAATAGGTTCAGGTTAACCTGAAAACCAAACCTGAAATTAGGTTAACCGAACCTATAGGTTCTTTGGTTGTCAGTTTCAGTTTCAGGTTTGCAAATTGTCGAACCTGATTTTCAGGTTCAGTTTCAGTTTCTTGGGTAATGGTTCAGTATACCGCATCGTGAACACCCCTTTTTATTGTATGTGCTGTATACTACTTTGGTTTATAGCCCATTAGCATGTTTGATGAATTTACTTACTAATTTGGTTCTCTTTTCTTTGCAGATCGCATTTCGACAGGGATTACTGTGGCTGATATTGATTTCTCATTGATAGATTCAGTACGAGCAAAAATACCAATTGCTAAGGTAAATTCCACTCTGTTCAGTTCTAGGATATGAGTTTGATTAAAGTTAACAAGTACTTAAGGCAACTAAATTTGGCGGGGGAGAAATACCAATCGGGGGTGTAAACATAGCCAGCCAGCCCACTAGGTCTCAATTGTGGCCCATGCCTCAGAGAGATTTGATGTGGAAAGATGTGCATATTATACAGTTGAACCTGATTTGATGGGCAATCTGCTTTGGAGTCTAGGGACAAGCACTTGAAATATGGACCAGGTCCACACTGCTGGTGCTTGATTTATTAGATTCGCTTGTAAATGTGGAATGCTAGATGTGGCATGCCAGGGCTCTGTTTCTATTAGGCTGGGTTGGGTTGATGTTGAACTATAGCCTAGTTAGGGTCTAACCTAACCTGCTTGAGCTACATGGTACCTGGTACTGCCTGTTAATCTAACAACTGGCCTCCCCCATGTCCATCCTTCTCTGTGTCCTGCGCGTACATAGGCGCAGGTGTCAGTGTGTGTGGTCTCATGGGAGTCTTTGTCTATTAATACCTTGAAAACTGCACATGTGAATCTGTAGTACAATAATGTGTGGTGTGTGCATTCCTTCTATTTATGCAAGTTCTCCTGTTTGTAATGAAATGCAATCTCGTATACTTCCAGCAAAAGAAGCCCTTCGAGTTCTGGAAACCTGCACCTCTATGATTGGTGAAGATTGTGCCCCTCCATCTGTGCTATTATCCAGACAATATGCCAAGCTCACATCAAATTCTTGTTGTACCATATGATTCAAGGAACAGTCATCTATATTCTGCTTGCATATCAAGGATGATACAGTTATTTAAAATAAGTTGGAAAAGAGTTCAGATTTCATTTGTCAGTGAGCTTGCGTGCTTAAATTATGCTCACCTTTTTAATCACATTTTTATACTGTTAGAGACTACAGGATGTTTGTTAGAATATTTTGATACTTCATGCAAGGATTTCAAGGATTCGATTGTAACAATTTCTTTCTGTTATTGTAAATATGTGCAAGCCTGCAAATCTTAACGAATGGCAGTAACATCAAAGGAGTTTGATGGAGAAAGCATCAAAGGGCCTTCGTTTTGCAAACAGAGATTCATCTCACCCTTGCATTTCTTGTAATATGCCTTTACTCTGCTGTTGGGTCTCGTGGACTTCATTTTTCTTAACTAGCCAAAAATAAGACCATTTGTGTGTGCTTTTGATTTGTTTCACAGGTAAAAAATCATCTGCCCTGGTTAAAATGCATCATGATCTATGCAATTTTTCTCTAATATTCGTTTGGCCAAGAAGAATGCTATTTTCTCAATTTCACTGATGATTTTTCCGATTACTCGTTGATGTTTGATTGTAAAGTGCAATTTCTTATATTTCGACAATGAAAGCCCATCGACTTCTGGAAATCTGCATCTGTATGATTCTTGAAAATTATGCCCTTCCAAACGTACTATTATCCAGATAATCTGACAAGCTGCACCTGATCCTTGCTGTACTATGTTTCAAGGATAAAGCGGCCATGTCTGCTTAACTCTATGCTCATCTCTGTCGTTACTTTCTTAAGAAACAATTTGCTCTCTACCATCCATAATTTGAACATGAATTGATCTAAATTCTGACAGCATTAACAATGTAAGGCAAACAATTTCAACTAATGTAATAGAAGAGACTCAAGAATTTAGCAAGGGTGATAAAGTCCCGTGTTGCCAAAATGACAGGGGTCATCCATAACAATAAACAAGGCGTCTTTGGAACAACAGGCTTGTTATTTGGCAGCGAATTCTGATGGTTAGTGGGATTAGTAGGAATGTAATCCGTTGGAGCAGTGAGTTTCAGTTGGCAAAGATGAACTTGCAGAAAAGTTCGTCTCAATCTTACTTATAATTGCTTGGTGTGCTGTTATATGTGGGATTTGGAAAGAGAGGAATAAAAAAATTGCATGGAAATTGTAGTAGTTCTGCAAATAAAATAGCTGAGTGGGTTATCCATCCTTGAAATACAGGTGGTCCAATACTAAACTTCAACCAATTGCTATTGCTGAGTCTGAGTATACTCTCATCTGTAAAAATTGGTGTTTTTGTTAAATTTTTGTTTGTTTGTTTCATGTTTTCTTAATTGCTTTGTAATAGGGATAGCTTTCTACTTGGATTGTTACATAATAGGCAATAACCACTGAAGCGAGAGCTAGGTCTAAAGAGATCACCTAAGAACAGGGATGGGGGCCCAGGGGCCCAATGATATCTCACACCATGACCCCATGACTCAACCAAAGATTGGTGCGACCCTGTTTCGGGGTCATAGAAAATTAGGTTGTTTTAGAGTGGGTATCGGTTGGGCCGGGACGAATTGGCATTCATAAGGTTATCATTGCCGATGACATGTCATTCAAGAACCTTAACTACCAGACCCAAATACTTTTAGGTAGACAAAAATCCTTCGGTTAGCGTAACTTACTATTAGCTGAGGGCTTTCGTTTTTTGGCAAAACATTAAAACTGAGATTCATTTGACTCTTCGCTTTTTATTGTCAGATACTTTCGCTGTCTCTTCTTCACCTCGTGCGCCACCTTCTCCTCTAATATTGCCAGGTCTGCGTGTTCTTATATAACAAATTGGCAGCTCAAACACCATGTAGGTTCTTCTTACGTCGCGTTTCCTTTGCTGGATTCTTGTTGAATCACTTCAATTTCGCTAAATAAACATGGGTTTTGCAGTTAATTACGTTATGGTTTGCGGGTTTTGGTCATTTTCTTTTTTGAGGGATTTTTTTTGCAGGCTTTAATGTAGAGTGTAATTCTAATTTTGGATTTCATATTGTTTTTTTGAATTGCATTAATGTCTCTTACTGCTGTTTTTGGTCAGCAATGCTGAAATTATGAGAGAAAATGTTTGAAACTGAAATGAGATAAGCTTTTTATTTGAAAATTATTTTATCACAGTAATGGATGGTGGTGAAGATTCACCTGAAAGTCTAAGTGTCAATGCAACGGCTGTATCAAGTTCTGATAATGCAGAGCCAAGGTTTGTTAAAATTTATTGAATAGTTGGTCGCTTCACTTAAAACTGGTGCTTTATTTTAGTTGTTTTCAACAATGATTACTTGACATGTTTTTGTGTTTATTGTATCCTAGTGCCTCACAGACTGGAGCACTATGCGATTCCCTTGAGAAAGGCGGGCAGAAAGCAAACGAAACAGAGGTTGATGAATCCTGCACAACAAAAAAGCGGCCTCACAACAGCTTCATTGAATATTAGTGAGTTTATGAAGAATCAAAGTTGATCCCTTTTATAATGCAACTAGTACTTTGTTTGTTTTAACCATGGCGAGTGTTTGTGATTCTAGCTTGAGCAAAGGATTGGATGAAGAAAGGGAAAATATGGGGAAAAAGAAATTGAAGGTACGAGAAGTTTGAAGTAAGCTTTCTGCGTGAAATTTAGATGTCACAACTGCTTCAACAGCATATTTCAATTGTGTTTAATCGTGTATCGGTTGGGGGATGGGATTTGGATTCAGGCTCCAAAGAATGTTGCAAAGCAGTGGAAGTCACTCCCACAGGAGGAGAAGAGACCATTCCAAGATGCAGTGAAGGATGCTTGGAAGAATCATGCTAAAGAGAGAGGTGAGCGCCCTGAAGTACCAAAGAAGGTAATTTGGGTTGGGGCTGCCCCCTTAAAATCGTGAAGACTTAACTAGTTATCCAAATATGATTTTTATTTTTTATCTTATGTGAAACCTAAAGTGGCATAACTTTTTAATGGTTCTTTTGATCATCCAGGCATATCTTGATTCCCGGTGTTCGTTAAGAAAGTTTGCAGCAGTTGTCAAAATGTTTGATCAAGATCAGATTCAAGCAGTTAGCACCCTTGGACTTGCTGGGCTCTTGCATATTAAAAAGCAAAAAAGGAAGTTCCAAGTTATTGAAGATCTCGCTGCTAGGTTTGACATAAAATCTTGTGAGTTAGAGGTTCATGGTGGGAGATTGAAATTAACTCCTGGTGGAGTTGAGTGGCTGTTGGGTCTGCCGTCGTCTGGGCTTAGCGTGGAGCAATTTATTGGCAGTGATGAGGATGTCCGCATAATGTATAATCTTGGTTCAGATCGAATTCACGCTGGTCAGCTAGGGGATAGTTTGGCTTCAATACCAGCCAGTCCTGAGTTTCAAGCAAAATTCCTTTTGTATGCCATTTCCACTGTGATCCGGCCTAGTACATCTGTATATGTAAGTCCATCATGCTTTGGCATCTTGAAAAATCTCTCAATTGTCTGTGCTCTCAATTGGGCAAAATATGCATTGGAGGGCCTTGTTAGTGGAATTAAGAAATATCGTGAGACTGATTTCACTCCTAGCAAAGCTAAGCGCCTGACTGGGTGTCTTCTCATTTTAGAGGTACGATTGTGATTGGTTGGTGGATTCGTTTATAGACTTCATATTTGTACAACTTAAAAATTAATTATGACCTTGCAACGCTATTATTACACTTGCATTCTTATATTAGATCTTTTACTTGGAGCATGTCAATGTTGGCCAAATAAAATTACCAAGAGCGAGTGGATTAGCACCTCGGATTCGGGATTGGGATGAAGATGCTAAAAGTCTCGTGTTCGAGAAGGTATACAAGCTTGGAGGTATGGACAGTGATAAGGTAGGCATTAATGCTGATTTCTCTAATTTGTGCTTTCCATTGACACTACCAAACATTTTACAAACTCAGTCTTGAATGTTATTAACAAACAGCCATTTTTTCCTGACATAGGTTGAACTGGTTATGAGACATGTTTCCGCTCCCAGTAGTATGCCATCATGTGGTGTTACGGTGAGTTGTAAGATGTTCCCTCCATGATGCATCATCTAGCAATATAAACATTGACGATTGGGATTTTTTTTCATGCTGCAGGTTGCAAAGAACGGAGAACTTACCGAATTGCGTAAAGATATGGCGAAGCTTCGAGGGGATGTAATGTTTTACATGGAGAAAATGGGTGCTGACATGGCTAACTTTAAGGAGACTGTTCTGTCGGCAATTGCTGGGAAGCAAGTGTTTCTACTTGAACCATCAGCACATACACTTCCTTCACATCCCAATCATGACAGTCGAGAGGCTGAACAGGATGTCACAGAAATTCCTACTGAGGTGATACCAGAGCAAACTGTCCAGACATCACCTGGGCAAACGCCTACAGATTTAGGCTCGCACAAGGGCAAGTTGCAAGGGTTTGTTTCGTGTTCTGGACAGCCTTGCCTGGCTGCTTGGAAGGATTCTGTCGATCCCCATTCCAAAGGGAGCATTGTTTCAGATGGAGCTGAAGAAAAAAAGGTTGACATTTGATTTATCAGTAGGGAGGATTGATTGTTAACATGTCATGATTTGCGATACAACTATGGGTGGAATTAATATTAACAGGGTAGGCCTTAGATGCAATAGTGGATGGGTTTGCTATTTGCAGTGCTGCATGTTGCTTGATTTTTGGCAAAGTTGAGATTTGAACTCAAAGTCACTCTCTTGCTTTGCTAGAATCTAGCATTGAGCTCATTCTGGCTGAGATACCAATTGCCAAGGGGCTTTTAAAAAAAAAAAAAAACCAATTCTAAAGTTACATAAACGAGAGAGAGAGAGGTGATTTAAGGAAACTAACCATCAATTGTGAGAGAGAAATACCTATTACGGCTAGCCACGGGTCTGGAAGCCTCTTCTGGCCCAAGACCAGCCTGAGCCCAAGACGGATGTACTTATATAGGCGCGTCTGCTTTGCAGGCCAGGACACGGTGCCTAACTCTCCTTTTGTTTTTCGGGGTCGAAGCATAAACAGCATTTATGATTCAACAGCTTGGGCAAGAACACTGCTTATATGAAATCAAAAGTTAAAAATAAATAAATAATCTAATTTTATGATATTTTAATCAAACTTTTATATTTAACTATTTCTTTGTTATGTTTTTCATAATTTTTTACTTAAAAAATTGATTAATTCTTCTTTATTCATGGATTTTTAAACAAAAAGAGAATTCAATTAAAAAAAAAAAAACCTTAGTATTTCATAAGATTGTATCCAAAAAGAACATTTTTAACCCATGGATTCTTAAACTAAAAGAGAATTCAATACAAAATACTTATATAAAAAAATGGTATTTCATAAGATTATGTCGAAAAAACAAAGTAATAATTAATGTAAAAATTAACGTAAAAAATAATTTTTTTATTTAATATTGATGAGAATATTAGTTTTTAAAAGTATGTATATTTGATTTTTATATATTTATTAAAAAATATATGATATTAAAATAAAAAAACTATATTTTAATCATTGGATAGTTATGCAAAAACCTAATTTCATATATTTAATTTTAAAAGAAATTAATTTAAAATATCTAAAATAAATAAATAAAGAGTGAATGCTTAGTGTTTTGGTAGTTGCATAATTGATTTTTATAAGAACTAATGATTCAATTATATATATATATATATATATATATATATACATACTAAGTGAGGTTAAAGTCTATAGTTATGCAAAAAAAAATCTATAATATAAAAATAAAAAACTATATTTGAATTATTGAATAGTTATGAAAAAACCTAATTTAATATATTTAATTTGAAATAAATTAATTTAAAATATCTAGAAATAAATAAATAGTAAGTGCTTGATGTTTTAATAGTTGCATAATTGATTTTTATAAAAACTAATGATTCAATTTATATATATATATATATATATATTGAGTGAGTTTAAAGTCTAAATTGCCAAACAAAATAAATTAAAAAAAAATTCACTTGTAAGAAATATATTGAATAAATTTGAAATTTACAGATTAAAATAAAAATGATTAAAAATTATTTTTTATAATTTTTTATTACACAAATAAGAACCAAATAAAACACGTAAATTTATCTTTTTTTCTTCTTAAATAATTTTTTATTTCAAAGCCATACATAACCAGTCTCTCTGAATAGGCCTCACATGCATAGCAATCACCTATTTTTTTTTTTCTGTATTTGACTTTCAATTATTAATTAACTATTTAAAAAATTATTTAAAAAAAATTATCTTAAACATATTTTTAATTGAAAAAGTATATTTCAAAAAAAAAATTATATATCATGCTACTATAATTAAAAAATTATAAGAATCAATTATCTAAATTATATCAATTTATTTTTTAAAAAAAAAATCATGTTCTAAATTTTATTCTAAAATCCAAATGTTAGGGATCAAAGTGCAATATTTACAAAACATTGCATATGAAAAAGGTTTTTTGTGGGGGTAAAAATAGCGTCATAGTAATGAATAGTATTTTGGATACATATTTTGGATGGCAGCATATAAAATGCCAAAAAGTGTCGAAATTAACAAAAAGGTCATTATAAAACAGTATAAAATGCCTTCAAAAATTTTTGAAATTCATAAAAAGGCCACTGCTTTCTTAGTTTTGTTTTAAATTTTGTGTTAACAAACCGAAATATTTCTACCTCGATGGCAACAAAAACATTTAGGGAAAGATAGAAGGAAAAGAGGAGGAAAATCGAATCAATTGAAGATTTCCCCTCTACCAAAAGCAAGGCCTTATACATATGAAATAAAGAAACTGATGGGGATGCAGAAAGATAAAAATTCAAGTAAATGCTTTGTCAAAGATAAAAAGGAAATGTCAAGAGAGAAAAAAAAATAAAGGAAAAAGAAGGAAAGGAGGGTAAAGAAGTAATAGCAAAAAGCACTTAATGGCAAAAGGAAAAATTAAATAAGAAGAAAGGGGCGAAAGAAAATGAGAAGACAACTGCAGATTAAGAAAGAAGCAGCAAACAAAAAAAGAGAAAAGAATTAAATGAAAAAAAAAAAGCATGCAAAACTTAAAAACCGACTAAATGGAAAAAAACCCATGTCATGAATAGTGTAATTGAGTCGTTACGAATAGGGCTATGAACAGCAAAAATACCTATGTGTTTTAGTTTATTTTGTAATAGGACTCCGAAACAAAAAAGAAAAGGAATTTGGCATGGGCTCCACAATCCATTATGCGAGCCATGATATCTTTATTAACTCAAAAAGACATAATGCATATAAAATAGACCCTAACAAGTCAGTTGTTGACGCTAGGTTGCAGGTGAAACAGAATAAAATCATTTCAAAGTTTTATAAATTTTTAACTAAAATTTCAATTGTAATTCATTTTTATTTTTTTATAAATTTCTGCTAAAAAAACAGAATTCATTCTTCCTTATACATTGGCTAGTGGATATAAATCTTTTAATAATTTAAAATGAAATATTAACGAAGAATTAAAATAATAAAAATATATTTTTCATAAGATTGTATCTAAAAAATAAAACTACAATTAATGCATAGATTTGTATAAAGATTAACAAATAAAAAATATATTTTTATTTTTATTTGATGTTGATGAGAAGATTATTTTTGAAAAATATATGCATTTGATTTATATATATTTATTTACAAATAATAAATAATATTAAAAAATAATTTAATTATTTTATTTAAAAGAAATCGATTGTATAATATTAAAAAAATATTCATAGCAAATAGTTGATGTTATGTGTGAAGATGTATGGTTAATTTTTAATAAAATAAATGATTTAGTAGTTTTTTATATGACATGGCCATATTTATTGGATTGAGATAAATTATATGAAATAGACTTTTAACTTTTTAGATTAAAATAATTATATATTTATACATATTTCACGATCATTTAAAAAATCTAAAGATTCATGATATATATTATATCAATTTTTTTAAAAAGAAAATAATCCCATTTTACAATTTTATTCTAAAATCTAAATACGAGAGAAAAATAAATCATATTTATCAATAAATAAAATTTTATAAAATATAAAAAAAAATAATGGGATGAGATTTTTCATAAGAAATGATAAATTCAAAAAATAAATTTTAAATAATAAGAATAATATCTGAAATATATGTTAATTTTTAAAAAAAAGATATTACATATGTTTTATCATCCTCATGGTACGTTAAAAACACAAATAATAAAGCACAATGTTTCCATTATTTTTTTAAAAAAAAATTCTTAATTAAAAAAATTACAGGAAAAAAAACAAAAAAACAAAGGTGCAATCCTTTGCGTTTAGGCTGGAGGACCAAGCTCATGAGCCTGGGGACGTAGCCTGTGCTGGCTTGGATACAAAAATAAATAAATAAAAAATTCCAGTGACCTCTTCAGTTTTCGGCAAACTCAATTTCTCTAAAACGTTGAGTTTTTTAATATGTGACCTCCCAAAACCAAATTTAGCTCTTTTTTTTTTTTTTTTTTTTTTTTTATCTAGAAACACCTCAAAATCATAGATATGACGTAAAAGAAAAAATAGAACATCAAAACTCATTTTAATCTAAAAAATCAAATCAAAATAAAAAAAAAAAGAGAAAATATTTTTGAATCTCAATCTACATTCTCCAATAATTTCATGATTTATGACTACTGTAAATAGATTCTACCTTTTGAGATGAACAACTTAACAGTAAACTCAACCGTGGAGCGGCTGGAGTAGGTTTTGCCATCTCTCTCTCTCTCTCAATTCTCTCTCCTCTTAGGGTGCATGGACCAAAATAAATAAATTATTTTAAAAATGAGGGATCAAATTGTAAATTTTCTTACAAACATTGAAAAAGTATAGTGCTTTTGGGTAAACGTAGAGGTGTTTGAGTATTATGTTTTGGTATTTTTTATAATGACTATGAAGGAATACATTCTATTGTATGAGTGGAAATTACCATTTTTTATTCCTTTACATGTTATTTTTTATTTTTATTTTTTGCTTATCTATTTTTTATTTTTATTTGATGGGTTGATGGCCAAGTAAATTTGGAAGTTTTATGTAATGTAAAAAGATGATATTACTCATTAAACTTGAATAATTATATTTTAAAATTTATTTAATCTTTTCATAATCAAACAATAAATACATGTAGTGTATTGGATAATAAATATTTTAAACTCTTTTCACTTGCATAACGAAATTACGTCATGTTTTAGTGTAAAAAGTCTTAGAAGCACAAGCATTGTGGGCTAAAAAAAAAAAAAAAAGAAATCATAGCACGTGCTGTAAGAGCATCAAATGCTCTCTCACTATCATGAGCAAAAGACGAAAAAGGGCGTTGAATGAGGGAAAAGAAACCAAGAAATAGGGGCACAAATGTAATATGACAGCACACTAAATGGCTAGGACTTAATTAAGCAAAAACTTAAAGGGTGTTAATTAAGAAAGCAAAAAAAAAAAAAAAAAAGGCAAAAAAGGAAAATAAACAAATAAAAAATACCGCAAGAAGAGGTGTACATTACGGGAGCACAGAG